AGTTGCAAAGCAATTAGAGCATCTGATGAACAACGAACAATCTTTGGATTTGTAAGTGCATTTTGAGTTATCAATATGCGACCTAAATAATATAATTGCTTAAACAATTGTCATGATAGGTCATCGGAATTTCACTTGCTTTCAAGGACTGATGTGATTCATGAGAAGCAATATGATAACAAATAAGCTAGCTGGTATCATGAAAATTACCTGAAATATTCAGTTATTTTTTATTCACCCATTATTATTATAGCATAAAAATAATCACTTCAGTTGCTGAACTAAAGACGCAAGTAACACTCTTTTGCAGAGGCAGTGTTAACAGTTTGGATGGTTAGCAGACAAATCCATAGTAATGGAATTCCTCATGATCACAAATACTTCATGTCATTTGATGCTAATGAAATATGGATTGAATGCAGTGGATTAATCCAATATCAAATATCCAATATCAAACAAGTAAATTAGTGTTTGGACTAAGATTATCTTATTGTTAGTCCAAATACCGACTTACTCGTTCAAATCAAGATTGCAATTTCTTCCCTTATACTCTAAAAGAGAGTTGATAAAAAAGTTGTTGCAAATAAGATGAACACGATAAACGGTTTGTTAATGCTTTGAAGTGATAATGTTAATCACTGCTAAAAAATTTCGGACACCCTATTGGAAATCTCGTTCAGTGTTGTTGAATGATAAGTATTCGATTAGTGATGTTTAATCTGATATTTGTTTATGCCCTCAAATAAAAGGTGATTATAAGTAAGACGAGTCATGTGTTGTTTTGGTAATCAACAAATTCAATGATAGCNTACTTGATATTGTGAAAAGGGGACATGATGTACAGAAAGGTCATGCTGATAGCTGATATTTGTGTTTGTATTCTGGAGGAAAAGTTTTTCGTATTCAGTTCAGCACTAAATTTAGCGATTTAACAGAAGATTCAATCCTCTGTGATACGATTTTAGTAATTCCTTCATATAGTTTCTGTGACATCCATGTAATAACTGATAAAGTTGGCGTGAAACTGAATCAGTTTAATGCAAACTGCAGTATATTGCCCAGTGTAGTGACTCCGTAATGATTTATTTCATGATCTTTTAAAATTAGAAGCCTTGAAACGAATATCACGAGGTTCGCAGTGAACATGCTTGCCAAAATAATTTGGCATATTTTCTCATTGAGCTGCGATTTAAACTAATTTCCAATTTGTTTGAGAATTTGATTTTTTTGTTACTTTTTTTCCATTTCAAGCGTCCTCGTTTCATATCATTGAGGAGATAAGTTTTGGATGCTTTTATGTGTTTGAATTGTCTATTAAGTGAATCAGTCATCGAAACTGAGTGTACTTCCACGTGGTAACGTTAGTGACGCGACATTTCTCGCTGATATTTTTGTAATCGTTCACCCGAATTGACGTTTCGTGGAATTTTTGAAATATTCTACTATTTTTATCTTGTAGACGCTTTTCATCCCGTCAACTGCGCTGGGATGAATCGTAAGAATTATTTACCACCAATATGGTACGACGATATGCAAATGGCCGGTTTAATGTCAATGATTAAGGTAATCTCTTGCAAATACACCTTTATTAAAACATCATTTTCTGTATTCAATTTCGAATTCATGTTATTTTCCTTTATGATTCAAATTCATCGATTTTTAGGCGCGAGAAGTTAACCCATATGACTACGATCGGAAGGTGAAATTTTGGAGTGAGACAATATCGAAATCGTGCCATGCAGAACATGATCCTCTAGTCACGATCGATATGCTGAAGAAACGATTTCGTAGAGGTGATCAACTGCCTGCCTCGTTGGATATCGTCGTTGACAATATGCATCGGTTTGTTGAATGGATTTGCTGTTCGGTTATTTAACATAACAGGATATAACCTCTCGAAATATTGCTC